AAAAGCATCCGGAATATTAAGGAATTTTGTAGTAATTTATGTAGTTTTTGTTTGTTTTTACCAGTTAATCACAAACATAAATTTCATTATATTCGTCTTACAAAAAAAACTCTCTAAACTTACTTGGTGTAGGTGTTATAAATGGAGAGAGACCACATACAAGTCCACATGAAGGCTACTACTACCGGACATATGTACACAGATAAGAGTTATAGTTCTCTCATGCGTTTACTACTCTTGACCCATAAATCGCTTCAGTTGCTTAATATATATTTTGTTTCTCCTTTCACTATTTTTACAGAGTACACATATATAATACACATAAATACATATACAATTATTATACCAAAGTTCTGCTGAGCAGAGAACAATCTAGGCGTCCTTCTTCGGGTGTCCTTCAAGCAGTTTTTGGGTCACCTGCCGCAGGAGCTGCAGCTGCTGTTCATAGTTGTGAACTGTGGCCAGCTCCTCAGCGTGGTTGTGGTGGTGTGGATGATCATGGTCATGCTCGTGGCCATGGGTGTGGCCCGATGCCGACCTGGTCTCAGTCTCAATCTCTTGGTGATTGTGTTCCGACGAGGAGCAACTGCTGTGGCTGTGGCTATGACCATGTCCACCACTGGAAGCTGTAAGCGATAAGGAAGGTTAGTTATACGATCTAGGGCTGAGCAATATGAACAGTTAGGAATGCCAATACTTATCGAGTAGACCCTATTTGCTCATGGTGATTTACACACTCCGCTCTGGATTGCTAAACATTTTTTTCGTCATGGTAGCATGGAGTTCATTTCCAACAACCCACTTCCAAGCAATGATTTATGAGCGTTTTGTCCTGCCTTATCTAGCCCTAGAGCATATACATACATACTTGCGGCGTAAACTTCTCGTCGGTATTTTTATCCCGTGCTCATCACAATACAAATTCGAATGCGGTTTTCACGGTGCTTTTTTGCTTGGGCAACCCCCTGATTTTAACGAGATGATTTCATGGCATGAACGGGATTTTTATTTCACCTGTACTTTAGGCATACTGACAAACCGTCTTGTATCTGAGTATGCTAAATAAATCGCAGCAAGGTCTGTTACAAGGTCAACCACGCAGCATTCAGCGGATCAGCTATATAGAACCTGTTCCCAATTCCCCCGAATCGATTCCGGTTAAAGAATCTCATCTCATCTGACACACCCGGCGACGATCGTACTAATTACCGCTAAGCCTTCTAACTGATTATAAGCAATTGAAGGATTGGTGATTAAAGCAGGAGTCTCTAAAGTCTAATGTGTCTAGCCAATACATTAATATGTAAATGTAATTGAACTGAATTGTAAAAAACAATATTTCTAGTTAAGTATCAAAACTTACCCTAATCATCACTGGATGTAAATAAGGGTTATAAAAACAAAACAAAAAACGAATTGCAAACAGAATTTGCAATTCTTTCCCACTAGATCCCTACGATTTGCACCCAGTAATTATTATTTAAGTGTAATTATTATACTTACTCAACTGCTGCAGGCCAAACATCAAAAGGAAGCCGACAAATAGGGCCAAATAGGCGCGCAGACCGGATCGATTTTTCGAGAGTATCTCGAAGAACACCACGTATATGAGCGTGCCACAGGCGAATCCCTGCAGAATGGCGGAGATCAGACTGGGTCCGGATGTCTCCTGGCCGTGATTTATCAAAATCCCGATGCCGATGCCAAGCGGGCTAACCACGGCGAAGGTCACCACATAGATAACGGCCAGTAACATCCGAGTCCTGGCCACGATCAGCTCGACGCCCACGCAGAAGGCCAGGACCAATTTGTGCGCGGAAACGGCGCCGAACATAAACCACACCGAACTGGCGGAGCTCTCTAGGCCAATGGCCATGCCCTCAAAGAGTTCGTGCAGCGAAAGAGCGGAAACAATGAAGAGTCCTCGCAGGGATGAAGCCAGCATGTCCCCCGCAGCGGCATCGTCTGCAATGACTGGTAGATGGCTATGTCCATGCCCATGCCCGTGGCTGTGTCCGTGTCCATTAACCTGTTGCTGTTGCTTGGTGGCAAACTTTTGCTGCTCCAGATCGTTCTGTAGGAGATTTTGCACCGAGAGTGTTCCAAGCTCAGCGGTGCCAGCCAATGGCGCCGGTGGGGCAGAGGGTGTGGTATTGTTGCCTTCGGTGGGTTTCATCAGGTGGCTGTTCCGGATGCTATGACCCCGCTCGAAGGCGGCGCCCGCCTCATCCTTCTGATGATGATGGACATACGTGTGCATTGCCTCCTCGATGAAGTACATGAGAAAGAAGCCGCAGCACATGAGCAGCTCGGCCAGCGGAAAAGTGAGTTTCCCGATGACGCCGCACTCCTGCAGCACCTCCACGACTTCCTGAACTTCGGGCAGGAGATGGAGAAAGGTGGTGGCCAGCAGGACGCCGCCTCCAAAATACAGCAGGCACTTCACTACAATGGCGGATCGCGCATTCGTCTGGTTTTCCGTCCAGCGATAGCAGCGGTTGAGTAAAAAGGGAATGGATCCGCAGATTGCGCTGGCGCAGAATAGCACCACCATGGCTGTGACCTTCGCAACCAGAACGCCACTCTCGTCGTCTTCGTCATGATCATGATCATGATCATGATCGTGGTCGTTATCATCGTTATCCTCCCCGTCGTGACGTGATGTCCAACGGCTGGACGGCTCATCGATTTGCAGGAAGCACTTGAGGAAATTATTCACTTGCGTTTGATTCATGTTGCTTTTGTTTTCTGTTTGTTTTGTTTCGATTTTACTTGGATTTCCACAGATCTCCCGAACCAGCTAAAAGACTCCGGACTCCGGCTCTCTTCTCTGACCACTTGTTGTCGAAAACAAGCAGCTCTCTTGGCTAAAACTGTTATTCCAGCACCAGCAGCATGTGTCGCGTTTTGAATCACAATCGACTGGGTTGTGGGTTGGGCTCATCTGGTTGGGCTGGGTTCTGCACTTGCATGCCGCTTTCCACTTTTTCAGTCACTTTTCTTTCACTTCGTTTGAGTTAAGAGCCTGTGCTATTTGGTAGTACCGATTGGCTTGGATAGGTTGTTTCTGATGTTTTCTAGCTCCGCACAGGTGTTGAGCGCTTGAGGCGACCTCGCAGACTGACAGAGTCGGGACTTGGTAGTTCACTTGAATATCTTGCGCGGGCTGGACGCTCCCGTGCTCCAATGCTCCAACGCTCTTTCCGATTCTCCCACTAACGAAGACCAGACATGAGCAGCAAGTTAAGCAGGTAAGAAGCAAGAAAACTGCTTTTAAAGCTCGCTCTCCCACTCGCGAACGTTCACCTGTGTGCCGCTGTTTCATTTGGCAATAGCGCTAATTGTCTTGGGCCCAGCATAAATATATATATACACATATAAACATACGCATATACAGACAATGCACAAAGGCCAGAGCAATTGAGTAATTGCATCCGTTCACTTTGGGCAGCATTAAAAGGCGCCTGACCTTAGCCAATATGTAGGATCGCGACTTTTACTTTGGCGCTCTAGATGGCCGGAAGCAAAAGCTCTGCTTTGCGGATTGGGTTTGCGTCCCGGCTCATGTAACTAACATGACTAACTAACATGTAACTAATCGGGGTTGCCACCTCTAATCATCATTTTACAAATAGTTTTCCCATACTGATTGAAATTACAAAAACGACCTTAAATCGTATGTCACTGAAAATCTCATTTGTATATAACTTGTCAAAGATCACGTAAATTGTTGTATTAGTTGTGAATAGTAACTTACATATTTATGAAAATAAAAATACGCAAACCGCAGATTCCCATTTAAAACCAATTGTTTTTTTTTTATAACGGTTACAACTGAAACATTGACTTCCTCAAAAACTGCAATTTAATCGTGTTCGTTTGATGAGTCGGTAAAACCAGATGGGAGCGTGGACAGATCGTGAGTTAACTGTTAGAGACCCATGATCTATCAATTAGCATAATCAAGCACACTGTAATTGGTCTAATTCTTTTGTTTTTTGTTGCACACCCTACCCTATTAGTTTATCCTAATTTGCTATATAATAAAAAATTAATTAATTTACTAAGCAGGTATCAAGATATCGCAAAAAACAAACTTTTTGTAATAATTTTTCATTTATTTTGGTTTTTTTTTTTAATTTTCATATTTTTTCGGTCTTTTGTTGGTTGTTTTTCTTCTTGGTTTGCTTACATTTTTTAAGTTACCATTTGTGTTTGCTGTTATACTTATACATTAATAATAAACCATTTTTACACAATATTTTTGTTGTTATTTTACTTTATTCGCGTTCGCAAACGATATAATGCCTACAACATTCCTGTTGGAAAATATTTCTGAGTACCTCTTCTCTCGCTTTCATTTTATTATTTTTTAGCTCTATTATAATTAATTGTTTCGATTTACTTTTGTGTTAAAACTGCTTTGCCGCAGTTAACAATGTTAACTGCTATACCTGCAAATAGCAAAAGGCCTGCGTGCACTGCTTGCTTGCCAACCATTAAACGCTTTTTGTTATCTTTTATCTGCTCCGCACTCTGTCCTTTTTGCGTCGTAAATATGTAAATTTCCGTTCTTGAATACATTAATCAATGCATGGGTTATCTTTCATTTGGTTTTTGTTTTGTTTATCAACATTTAAAGTCAGTTATGTATATTTTATATAATTTACTTTATATAAACTAGTGCGGTTTTGCTGTTTCTCGGAATCCATTTTCGTCATAGAAATATTAATTTTAGCGTAATTTGTTTGTGTATCTTTAATATTTCATATATAATACAAATCAGTTTTTTAACTATACAGGAAATTTGGGTTAATTGTATATGCAATGTTATTTACGTAAAATTTGAAATTTGATTTGTTGTTTTTCAATGGTTTTCCTGCTTTAATATGCTTAAAAGATTGCAAAAAAACACGAAAAATTTGCATTGTCCTTGTTTAGTTAATGCTATTTTTGTTTTCCTCGCTATATGTATATTTGTAATAAGTATAAAAAATTTGTTTAAAATATATTTTTCCACATACAATTTATTGATTTTAGCTTTACTTTTCGCGTTTCATGGAGAAGTGTAAAGAAAAATCAAATTCGTTCAGAGTCGGAGATGTGTGTTTTTGGGAAGTCGGTATTAGCTGCAGGCAACTTTTTTAGTAGTTTAGTACTCATATCACGTAATATCAAAGAAATGGCTCAGTACATTAGTATTTACCTATCAAGTGATTGATCTGTGCGGAAACTTGTGAAGTTCCTAACAATTTATTCCGCTAACTTCGCACATCATAACCAAGAAATTATCTAAGAAACGATCCGAAATCAAATGCTCCAAATTAATTCGACTACAAAAGCGATTTCTAGATTTTGATTTATCCGATACATAGACGTGTATATATATCAAAATACTTGTATATATATATATATGTACATATTAGGTATAGAAAAGTGCATTCAAAACAGAGCTAAACCAAGCTGCCTATTGATTCATACTGTATATCTAGTACATCATATAGCTTTATACATATAGCCATTATCAGACAAATAGCGAAAATGTTGATCAATAGACGGGTATTTTTTTTTTTTTTTACTAAAAATATACTGACGTTTTAAAACCTTTATATTCGTGAAAAGCTTTAAATTGAATTTAAGTACTCACATTTAAGTACTTAAAAATGTGTTACTTTTTAAGACACTGAAAACCAACACATCCACAAACCATAGATCCCCTTCAGAATCTGAATTAGCCAAATGTCTATCCACCAATCTGATCTTTGAAATCACTTTAATTTTCCCCATATTTAATTTCTTTCTATGGAAAGTCCATTAATCTAATTAGTTCTATTTCTTTTTTTTGAACATTTGGTTGGACATGGAAGCATACTTATATTAAGTATATATTTTTTCGTTTGCAGAAAGGTGACTTCCATAGTTTCGCTTTCATTTTCCCCCTAGGGTAAAACTTTAGGATTTCTCAGAAAATATTAATTTTCAGTATCCAGTTGCGTTGGTTATACTCCCAAATAAAAGTCAAGCGAAAAAGACTGCTAGAAAATGGCGAATTCCGTGAACGTAGAAAAAGTGAATTAAATTCAATATACGACCATTAAAGCCTGGCTATTTATCTGACAATGGTTCACGTATAACGCCTAAGGTGATTTCATGTAGCTTCATACATACATATATTAAGTTGAATAGTTTTAAAAAATGATGTTTATTTTCGCTTTCTTTCTTTCATTATAATTTACAAGTTTGTTGGATGCGTATAAATATGTTCTTCTTTCTCTCATTAAATGATGCTGCACTAGTTTTGTTTTTGTCTCTTTTAATATGTATATAATATATAAATATGCTTTAAGTGGTTTTTGTGTGTTTAAGTTTCCTTCAGTTAAGAGCAATGGGGTTCTGAGGGGTATTGATAGTGGTAGTGGTTTTAGGGAGCTTTCTTTCCGTTTCCCTTCACAAGACACCGACGGGAGGAGCTGCCCTGGCTGTGAGTGATTCTGGCTTGAGTCGCCGTATCGATTCTAGTCGTTTTGAATTACGTTTGAATTTTGTTTTCTTTTTTATTTATAATAGCATTAATTAATAATATAATTAATAATTATAATAATTTATATAATAAACGCAAAATTGGTAAATAATAAAAATAATAATAAAATACAATCATTACAATAATTAATCAAAATTGGTTTCATTTTGTTTGTTTTTACTGTTTTTTAGTGTATTTAATGTGTACGGGGTTCATTTGCTTTGTTTTTGTTTATGTTTTGTTGTTGGGTTTCGTTTAATATTTTTTTGTTGCTTTCTGCATTTTGCATCTGGTTTTATATTTATATAAATTACAACGGAAGTGTCGGTGTGTTTGTAGTTGGTGTTGGCGTCAACATCGACGCGGATGGAGGATAACGCAACGTATGCTGCGACGTTGCCTGCTGGATATAATCCTGACTCGGATTATTCAATACGCTATCCCGTGAGTTTGAATGTGAAGTGGCACGCAGCAGGGTGACTGCCTCGCGTTCTGGACTACATTGTACACCGTCTAGTCATTTTTGGCGCGTCGATTTCTTCTTCTTTCGTTTAAAGAAACAACAACATCTGGAATATAAGGAACCACTGGAGACAGTTAACCAAGGGACAGAAACGAGACGGATTCGGATTCGGATACGGATTCAGAGGGGGAGACGTAGGCATAGGCAGAGGCAGTGGATTGGTCGGGGGAGAAAGAGAAAAAGAGAGAACGAAAAATGGAAGTTGCGCATTAAAAACGACAAAGCAAAAAAATTCTTTAAATATCTAGTGGATCTGTTAATCAATGTATCGATATATCTATGAAATACTTATGTTTTTTAATCGTTAAGACTGGTTAACAGAACAATCTAAATCACATACGAATTATTTTTCTTTTACTGCTGGCATTGCAGCATCATATAAAACAAATAAGACACCCCCAAACGATGTTCTGAAAAATTTTAATAGGTGATCGATCAATTAAAAAAAAGTATTACCTTTTACATGTACATATTACCCTACAAGCCTCTAAACTTGTCCATTGTTTTATATCGGAGTATCTATAAACAAGTTTTTTTTTTGCAAAATGTTTTGTCTATACAAAGGTCAGCCTGTTCCACAACACGTCTATCATTAAACTACATATCGATATACCGATTAATTGATCGCCTGAGTAACACATACTTTGTTTCATCAACCACTTCGACTTCCGGCTGTTGTGTGATGGGCGTGTTTGAGTGTCCGGCCGTGGGATCGTCCGGATTTAGTTCGCCATTCGTCGAACTCACAACCTGCAAAGGATAGTTAAACAAAAAGGAGAGCAATACGATTTTAATATTAGTCTCCATTTATTATTTGATTTTGTACTAAACATATTGTACGAGTATTTACAATAAGAAGTGATTATACGTAATATAACGATTTAAACCGTTTTTTTAAATCACTAATCAAAAAAGAATCAGTTTAAGTACAGTCGATTAAAAAGTATCGATTGGAATGGCAGTACAGACATTACACAGAACGAAACTGTTATACAAACAACGACTATCTTGGCAGCACTACAAGCCAAGTAGATCACGGATGAAAATTTTTTAATTTTGTAATTTCAATGCCCTTGACAGATGGAAAAGGTTCAAGTAATATGTAGACCTCAGCCTATTCCGGAGATTGCCTGGATTGTCAGGGCGTTTGCAGATCACACATTTAGATGATAAATGGGTACAGTACAAGATCAGAGAACTAGGACAGACAAGTTATATTTCAAATACCTTGGAAAGCCCATTTAAAAGGAAAGTAAACAGGCAGGGTTTGTCTTATGGCGAAGGAAAATGTCGTTTAAGTTTTAAAAGAAGCTGTCGATGTGGTATTGGGAGAATAGTAGAATTGTTGGTGGTTCGTTGGTCTCCTATTTCTTAGGGTCGTCTTCGGGATCGCTTTTCTCATAGTAAGCATCAAAAGGGCTATCATCATCCGAGCTTGAATCTTCAGGCAATCTCTGTAATAAGTTGTGTTTCGGTTTCGAATTTGATTCGATACATGAAAATTGGTCTTTCCGTCTCGAAATAAATGCCAATGATTTCACTTTATGAAAAATGAATTTCCTCCAGCCGAATCTAGGAAGTAATTTTTATACAACTGCGGATATGTAAAGTGATCCATGCTTCTCTAGAGTAGTGTAATGTATTGTGTGGCATGCAGTCAATAACATATACTGCTAGGTAGTGTTGGTTAATGCACTGCTGAAACTTGCAATAGTACCGTGCACAATTAGAGAAAGGCAACGTTTCTTCTTTGTTATTCATGCAGTTTTATAAGGATCCTCTGGCATCAATTATTTTCACTTCTATAAAAGGAAAACTCAAGGTTCAAAAATAAAAAAGGAAGATCCGAGAAAAATATCGAAGAAGAAACTAACAAAACGTGTTGGCAAAACCAAATCAAACGTAACGGAAGTGGAATAAACTATAGTGGAGAGGAGTAGAAATAACACATGTTGGGAGGAGAGATTATTGTTCAGTACCTTGTTGAGCTAATGTAGAGTAAATCAAGTGAAAACATTAGAATTGAAAAGGCCAAAAATATAACAGTCTGCGATAGATAATGTTTCGTTGTAATATTTATAGGAAATATATTTAGGCAATTATGTACAGAATCACAGTCGAACAAGAATTCAATAACGTAATGAGGCGAATACAAATCTCTTTTATTTATATGTATGATATTTCTTGCCAAGGAGCTGAAGTTTGCTAAGTTTAGATTATGTATGCACAAATACAGACTGCAGACTGTAGACTGAGCGGGCGAGCGAGCGATATAACAGAAATAAAATGGAACGGAAACGGAAGAAAAAGAAAAACTGTTGTACAACACTGGCCGGTTGTCGTAACTTACCTGTACTGAACCATGCCGATCGGCCGGCGTTAGATTGCCCAGTGTTGCCCCCGGCTTTGGCACATCAGGCCACGCAGCAACACCTCCTTTGGCATTTGTCTGTGGTTGGGTTATGGTGGTGGTGGTTGAAGTGGTGGTGAAGGATTTGGACAGTTGGTTTTGATTATTTTTGTTTAAATTCGGTACAGTTCAGTTCAGTTTGCGATCGAGCAATTGGTAGAAACGGATTTATGCAATTTTTTCAATAATTAATTTCAAGTTTAAAAAAAGTTGTTATTTCTATACAACATAGACAGACAGCTCTATTATTATATGCAATTTATAATTTAGGGATGGTGAGTGAGTCTAAGTTAAACTAAAGCAAGTCAGGAATGTGCTACAATAAAACCAAAAAAAAAAAATAAACGTATTCCATATAACAGACTATCAAAAGCGAATGTCAATAGAGTAAACAAGGGTTAAGCTAACAGCAAAGATTTAACCAAATTATAATGAAATAAATATACGAATCCCGTTCACCAATCGATTGAAGTATTTCTGTGCATTTTTAAAACTAGGTTAGTCGAGCATCTACTAACAGCTTCTGAATATTCCATCTATTTCAAGCAGTTATTTGAAATCATTCTTCAAATATCCTAGCCTTGTATTAGCATATTTTTACTAAGAAAAAGACAATGAAACCCAAAGAATGTATAAACCTAGCAATGTAGTCTACAACCAGACGTATGTAGGCGTAAAATGAGTAAAAGAGCACTTTAATTCACACTAACCATTACAGAGAAATTTTTCAAGTCTACAACGTCTAACCTGTAGTATTATATATTCTTCATTCTCATTATCAACTTCGTCATCAAAATCAAAATATGAAACATCCTATAGTTTTATATCAAATATTGTGTGTGGGGAAGAAAAGTAGGATCAAAACAAAAGCGTTGAGCATAAGTAGAGAAAGAAGAGCAGTGAATAACGAATGTTAGAAGTAAAAAACTGAGTAACCAAAGAGAAAAAAGTTCCCTAAAGCTATGTTGAAACAAGGATAACTGTTTTTATCTTATAGACATTATATAAAATAATCAATTTAAATTTTGTCTGTGATCGAGAGTACAAATTTGATTCCTTTTCGGACTACTTTAGTAAAATGTTATTATATACATTACCTTAGCCGTAACATTATGACGATCTTTATTTGGTGAAATGATGACTTCATGGCCAGTTTGCAGAGATCCGACGGGCGTTGACTGTTTAATGTCAGTGATGTGAATGCATGTGTTAAATTTGATAACATGTTTATATATAGATGATTCAGTATTTTTTTTTTAACACAGAGTTACACGCACATGAAACGGTGTTGACAACCGAAAAAAGAGAAGAGATCAAGGAGAGAAGAAAAGTGCTGTTATAAATGGCTTCAATTGGTTGCTTAAGTTAGTCTCATTAATTGTTTGTACTTAACATACGATAGCTTAACCACCTAAAGCAACGAGCTTACACACTGAGACCAAGCATTGACCAACACTGAAAGTGATCGAGCGTCATACATAACTATGCAGCACTGTTTTAGCTTTAGACTTCAAAGATACACGGTGGCTCCCAAAAAAACCCGAACTTTATATTTAAATCATACAACATACAGCACCATATATTGAAAATTCGCAACCATAAAAAGATACATTCATCCTCTTTCAAACGCACCTAGCTTCATGTAAGTCAGATCTACAGATGTAAAAGTGACAGCCATTTCAATAAAACCAAAAGTGTGCTAATGGTTCAAATGTGTGCTAATGGTTGATTACTTTTTATGATTCGAAGGGTATTGTCCACAAGGAATTTGTTCCAGAAGGTCAAACTGTTAATGGAGAATACTATTTAGGCGTTTTACATCGTTTGTGGAAAAGAATCGGTCGTATTAGACCAGAATATCCAGCAGCAAAACAGCTGTTTTTATTGCACGATAATGCACCACCTCACAAGACCAAAAATGTGAAGGAATCTATAAATGACTTAAAAAATTCTATGCATGCGCTGGTTGATCGTTCCAAATGTTGTGTTGAGTCAAATGGAACCTATTTTGAATAAATAATAACTTTCAAAGATAATATAATGTGTATTTTATTTTATATCCAAAAAGTTCGGTTACTTTTGGGACACACCGTGTATATTTCGACATTTGTGTTTCTTTTTTGTACCTTGTCAGATTTATTTTTGGCCAAATGCGATGGCGGTGCATTCTTTATGACCTTCATTTGCTCCAGCTGTTCCTTGGTCTTAAAATCGAAACATGAGAGTTCTTTAATACCAATACCGCTAAATCTCGGGGGAAACACTTTTAAATATTAAAACAGCATTTTTCGGAATTGATTGTAGGTCTTTACTGTTTATATTGCGCATTAATTTAAGATTCTATTTTGGATGTGGGTAGGGGCTCTTTATAAAAATATATATTTCGGTCAATTCATTGAAGGCAGCGAAAGAAAACATATGTCGTTGGCAATAGGAATCAAACTAAGAACAAACTGAGCCCAATCTTCTGTGCAACAGCGGCAGGTAACGGAAAACCGATAGCGCGAAAACTAGGATTCTGCCATGTTAGTAGTTCGTTACATTAACGTCATACAAACCGACAATTCCATGCGGCTTTCATTCATTTTTGGGTTAATTCAAATCATTCATAGTGGCGGCGGTTGGCTCAGTTAATCGAGTTTGGATGTCATGCTCGATATAGTTCCATCATTGGAAATGATTTTTCGGTTACATGATTTTTTTAGATGTTCGAGACGTTATGGATATCAATTTAAATATTTCTAAGTGCTTGCATTTCACTATGTCTCCTATGAATTAGATTAGGGTTTTAGTTTTATAAATCGGTGGAATGTTTTTTTTTCGGAGTCTTAATGTGTAAGAAAGTGTAATTTAAATGGGGTAGACGAAAATATAGCTCACCATTGTCTTCCCTGTCCAGTCGAACTCGCCCTCGTCGGTGTATCCCTTACGATCGAATAAGTCTTGAAACAGTCTTCGCAGAAAATCATAGTCGGGAGTTTCGAAAAAATCTAACCGCCGTACATAACGCAAATATGTCGCAAACTCTTCCGGATGTCCATCACAAAGCACCTGCGTATCAGAATAAGGACGTTAGTTCAGGGTTTATTGTGATTAAAGGGACTTCTGGGGTATATTTCACCTCGATGGGCGTTGCTCGTTTCGTATCACCGATTTTTTGATATCTCTCCTTGAGTGTATCAGCCTTTAGGCCTTGCCACGGCAGTGAACCCCTTAAGAAATACATAAACATATGTCCCAATGCCTCCAGATCATCGCGTCGCGACTGCTCACGCCCCATGTGCGTGTTGATTGACATATAACGTGCCGTTCCAGTTAGGGACTTATGCTCCCGATATGGTATATGCCTATTTGTATCTAAATCAATGTATTCTTTGGCCAAACCGAAATCTGTTGATCATATTATGTTAGAACTTGCAGTAAGTTTAAGATTTCATTTAAGATCTTACCAATTATATGTATAATTTTTTCACGTTTTGTTGACGTTCTGCCAATGAGAAAGTTCTCTGGTTTCACATCCCTATATATTAAGTGCCGACTATGAACATATTCGATCCGGTGGAGCTATATTTGTATTATCAGGATAGGTGTTTTTTTTTTTTGAAAATAATGAAAAGAAAATTAGTTATTAATGAAATGAAATTTTTAAAAGAGCATTCTATAGGCGTTTTAATTCTTATGATATGCTCTTTTTAACATTTAATTTATAAAATAAAAATCTATTTAATCATTTATCTGTAGTGTCTCAACTAGCTGTATAAGTTTTTCACTGTAAATTTGTTCTCTTTGATGGCATCGGATTTTAATATTTATCGCTGGTATATCATAAATATAAGAAACTCAGAAGTATCTATGTTAAGCTACAAATTGATGTGTACATGCAAATTTATTTTAATTACAATGAACGTTTGTTTCCTCCTATTTAGCTGATTTTTGTTATTTTAATATATAAGATCATGTTCAGTAAAGAAGCATTTTTAGTAAATGATGCCTCGTAATGAATGCAAAAAAAAGTTACAAAAAAAAACCTCAACCAGGCGGCTACAATTATGACAGAAAGAGTGAGTCGGAGAGAGTCGAAATAGGGAGACAGCGACCTATTGGTTTCGTGTTAGTAATGAATATCAAATAAATAGCAAATAAAAGAGTTAAAAGTATAAACTAATAACCAAGCAATTCTAATAAAAACGCATATACACACCCCAACCCACACACACGCAAAACAAACAAAAGATGTTTCGATCTTGATCTTAGTACTAGTGTTGGTTAATTTTGACCTCGGCTACCAGTGGTGTAAATGTGATTATGTGCAGAGTTATGCGCGTGCTTAAGGAAAACTTTTGCAAAAACGATTGCAATATCTGTTGTTTTATGCTTTGTTGTTTAACTTTGTATTTGGTGGATTTTGTTGTGGTAGTACTTACTAATTGTATAGCTATCAGAAGTACGCTCTTCAAAGTGAAACGTCTGCCGCAAATATCGAATAAATCTTCAAGTGATGGACCAAGCAACTCCATAACAAGAGCATTGTATTTGCCGCATGGGCCGAAGTAATATACTTCTGGTACACCCTCTGCTATCGATTGATCGATCGATTAATTGATTGATTGGTCGATTTTATTGTCGATTTTTCGGTTGGGTTGACAAAGAATTTTGTTTGGAGGAAGCGAGCGAGTGTTTTTTATTTATTCGAGTGTTGGACAGCGCACAAAAGTTTTTTGGTTGATCGATTTGTTGTTTGTTGTTGTTTTTGTTGTATTTTTGCAAACAATTCGTGAGCAAGAGATAAAAAGAGAGATGGGAGAGAGAAGAAAGAAAGATGAGATACAAAATAGAATTTTTTTTATAACAAGTTCTTGTTCTCTTAAGCTGCATTTTAATTAATTTGACGGTTCGGGCACAACGAAAAGGAAAGAGATAGAATGGGAGAGTGATGTGTAAAGAGCGATGGATTTGGCTCATGTTCTGGAGGTTAGTGTAGCGCGTCTTACGATATTACCACTTTTCATTTGACAGAGATCGAGCGAAAGTATAAATTCTTATTCGGGCAACTGTGCTAAACACAACAAGAACAACAAAAATAGAGATTCTCGAAGCATATACACAAGGAAATGACTGCTGGAGAAGGGAACTCACCTACCAACTCATCCTCCTCCGAACTTGATTTGACCTAACCAGTAGAAACTTCAACTCGGATATAACAGAGTTTTGTGTGTGCTTACAAATAATCTTAAAACTAGAATTGTTTCCATGGCGGTGTGTGGTGTGTATAACAGTTTTTGAGATTCTCTGAATTCCGATAAACAGTTCGATAGATCTTTTTGCAACTGTGTTAGTAGTTTTGGTTAAATTATATACATTGCACTTTTTTTGTCAAAGAAAAAAGAGAGACTACAAAAGTCAGTTTTGATAAATAAAAAAATTAAAAATTAAGTGTGTATTAACAAGTTCAACAACGAAATTGTTATATTAATAACTTAATTTCAGTTGTTTTAAGCTTGAGAACACAACGGAACAAACGATTCCACTTGGGATTATGTACAATTGAATGTCTGATTAAATTATTAATTTTTAAAGGACGCATTACATGCTTTGAAGGGATTGCTTTTTGGTGTTATAAGTTTTTTGCAGATCCGTTTAACGATATTGAAAGTTGAAACATAAAAGTATTATTACCTTTACTACATTTTCAACTTATCTACAGTAAACTAAAAAGTTGACTAACGTTCATTGCAGACTCTAAAACATACTAAATCAAGAAAACAAAAATGAAACCTATATTTTAGCCGTTGAGACACTTTTGATTCCAAACGAAAAGAAATTGGTTCATGGACGAGATGCTGGCGGATTTCACTAGATATGACTGTTATACAGGACACTAAAAATGCGAATATTACTTTTAATTTTCTGGAAATGAGTTTTACGAGGGAAGGAAATACGTAAAGTCAGCATTGTTTTAAAAATCGAAGAGTTCATTATTTTACTGGAATAGCAAATTGTTATCCCCACACAATATTATTATTATTTTTTTGGAAATCAAGTGAAAACCGCTTTACTTTCGTCTACACCTTTTTGGTGTTGTTTTTTTTTCATTCTTGGTGGATGCCACACTTACAAGTTGTTTCGCTATCATCAATACAGTCTTAAGTGAAAATTTACGGGCGCAAATATTGAAGAGATCTTCTAATGATAATCCCAATAACTCTAAAACCATGGCATTGTAACGGCCACCGCAAGTGCCCAAATGATAAATGCGTGGTATGCCATCTGGGGCGTTATCGGCTGCATTTCGATATAGATTTCGATGTCGCATTTATTTGTATTGCGTTCAGGATCAGACAAAATTCCATTCCAATTCCGATTTGGGGTCCAATTTAGTAGTGGGGATGTTGGTGAGGGGTTGGTTGGTTCATAGCAATATTTATAGCAACACGGCATCACAATGTATTATGCAATAGTTGATTGTAGTTGGTTGGTTGTAGGTTGGTTCAATTCAGTTCATAATCGAGTTGGTTGTAATGTTGTGGTAGATTGCAGCAGACACGGGGAGAAATATATAGATAGATAGAGAGCAGCGCATGATTCGGATTCGGGTTTAAGTTTCAATTTAACGGTGTTTTGTTCAAGAATTCATAGCAAATATTTGGTGTTGTAGTAGTTGATGAATAATAGAGGAACAGAGAGAAATATATTTAAATAAACAACAAATAAGATTAAGCAACACAAAAGAATTTCGAACAAAAAAAACTATTATTAATAAAAAGTTGGGCAATAGTTGAGAAATCTACATATGTATATGTATATATACATAATACATATATGTATATACATATATATATATATATATATATATAGTAGGACAGATGTATAGAGATTTGGTTTGCCTCTAAAGTGATTTTCGAGCTGTTTTACATTGGCGGTTATAATAGTAGTTTCAGTTGTAGCCTGAGCTGTTTTACTACAGAAATACAATGGACATGGACGTGGTGTTTTTACAGTTTTTGTTTTTTAATAATTTTTAAAAATTTCACTTCACGCACCAACCGACCTCCGAAAATATGCTTGAGAAAATCTATTCATGTTTTTTCTTTTCGTCGTATTATTTCTTCGCAGTGCGTTTACCACTAGCGAGGTACCAGAAGTGTTTTACAAAAATTATAAGTATATTCGTTTACATATGAATCTAATAAAATGGTGGTAACGGTGCAAAACTTTACTTTCAGTAATATTAATTGGTTAGTAAAAGATACGGGGAGGAAAGGAGATAAAGTGTGACAGGGATAATCATGTCTTCAGAGCAATTTGATTTTTATTCCCTACAGAGGAATTTGGACATTGGTTGTTAGTTTATTCGTTAGTGTTAAGTGGGACGACAGCTTTGGGAAAAGTTATGGTTTGGATCGTAGAACAAACTACAGAGTTATAAAGCGATAGATTACATACCATGTGATCCTAATAGTTTATAAAACCTATACTCTAAGTGTAGTTGCGGAGCCTTTGACTTCATTGGCTCCATTTTTATTGCTACATGTTCATTGTTGTAAAGATTTTTGCCTGAAAAAGAAAAAAATTTGCCATTAGTTATATTTCGGTGAAGTACGTTTTAAAATAAAATACAACATTAATTTCAAATCTTCAACTCCAATACATGAATGCCAAATAAGAACAGAAAAGACTTGTACGCACATGTGGCTTTTCATGCCTAAGACTATCGCCAATCACATGCATTCAACGCGTTTACCTGCCCCACCGTTGTCAGTAGTGCCACGCCCATTTCGCCCTCCAACACCACCACCAAAGCAACACATTCGACGACCTAGCCAAATGGGGGAAAAACAATAGTAAGAAATACAAGCAATATTATATTACAGTCCCATTGTTCTCAGCCCCAGTTTCTATATTCAGACGATTTATTTAAAAACTATGACCATTTTGTACTTTGTTAAATTGTAAACTATTATAAAATTAATAAGTAAGTATATTTTTCCAGTCTGATTAAGAGCCCTTCCAAACTATACGTATTATAGTATGAAATTAAAACAAATCGTCCGGAAGCGGAATTAAGAACAAGGTCGCATATAATTCCAGAATTGCATTTTAGATACCACGATATGACGGAGCCTCAGACAGAAGCTGAGAGAAAATGTCAACAACGAGCAGTGCGCTCATGTGCGAAATTATGTCATGAGAAAGTCGGTGAGAGAGCCGAATAAGAATGTGTGGGTGGCTTGGGTTTTCCTTTTATGAGTTTGGTGGGTGAGTGGATGGGTGAGACAGACATTGCTTATCAACAGACAGAACATTGAAACGCTGATGATAAAGTCGTCGCACACACAAACGTATATAGATACAACAAAATCGGCGATAGGAAGCCGCATGATTTCAATGACATGCTAGAAAGTACCCTTTGCCCGCCTGGCCCCTTAAAAAGTGTTTGGTTTGCTGAATTCTTAGAACACTAGAACACACCAACATGCGGGCAAAAAGTCAAAAATGCAAAATGAACAATTTGTTGGTCTGGAAATTTTTTTGTCTACGAGGACAAAAGAAAAATTTGTGGTCGATCGAAAACAATTTTAAATCTCTTTTGAAATTGTGCACAGCAAATGGCAGATGTCTCTTTTTTGGGCGCTATTGTAAATTGCATTCAATTAATCAAAGGCCTATTCAGATTCGCGATCGTTAAATACAATTGTGTACCCGCAAATCTGAAACCCCTATAGCCAACCGGTACATCAACACATCAACACATACCGTGACCTAACGCAATATAAAAAATACAGCAAAAAAATGGAAAATAAACCTAGAGAGATTCGTTGAAGTAAATAATAAAACAGCTCGGTCACAGAAACTTAAACAATGAGAGAAAAACTAATTTTTATAAAGGGCGTGCTATGCTTAACAAAAATAAAGCGACAGTTCTCAAATTATATGAGAAACGCCCACGCAAGGCGGCCATAAAAATGAGCCAAGAAAATGGGCAGAAATGTATTTAGGTTGGTCAACGTTCTGCTTTTCCACATGAAATACAACAAATAATAATTATCAAATTTATAATTATTATTTATTTATATTATTATTATAATAATTACAAAAATCCTAAAAGAAACGGGCCTTCTAAAAACTAAAACAAAATTATGACATTTGGATTGCATAGTAGGAGAAAATTACCCAAACATTTCGCTTTTATTTAAACGTCAGCACTAAACTTATTTAATAGCAAAATAAATTAGAAAAACAAGCACAATTAATAAAAATGATATCATAAGCAAAACGAAATGGGCTGTGCGACGTCATAGAAACGAATTCAATTTTAATTGAAAATAAGCAACCAGTACATTTCAAACTGTGAGATTAGCATAATTTTAAAAGGCAATTAAACACAGCTATCAAGCGATTGTTTGCGAATATTTTTGCCTTTTGTCAACGCTTTGGCCTAATGAGTCATACAATAACCCCATAAAACAAATGCAACAAAGTCTCGAGATGCTGAGGTGGAAACAAAGAATAAGCATGGCTCAGACCGTCGGAAAGAGACAACGAATGGCTGAGAAAGAGACAGCCCGCGAAGTCTGAGGAGAGGAGACCTCGTGATAATTACAGTTTTAGCGACACAGCCCACTAAAGAATTAGCTAGACGTTATAGTACTACCTGTTGGCAATGTGACAACAAGTGCACAAAAGGAAGTGGAAGGCCCCAAAAAAATAAACAACGGCCGGAGGGGCGGGCCCAGTATGAAACAACTTTATAAAAGCGCATTTAGCAAACAAAGCCAAAATGACGACAACGACGATGATGCCAAGAAAACAGATGGCGGAATGGAATGGCATTTTGTGTTGTATTGTACACTCTTCGCCGCCAGTGAAAAGGAGCGGGGAACCACTGTTCCCATTGTGGTTAACAGACCTGGAAAGGAATGCCCGTCGAAAGGAAGTAGCCAACGAAAAAAAGGTGCAAGAAAAATAAAACACCGAAGGTCCCAAACGCGACATTATTTGCATGCCAACAGGCAAAAATTGTGGGAGGGAATATGTCAATGGGGTGGCGGACGGTACGCAGTATGGCTTTGAATTGTAAAAAACATTTTCGAATGATTTAAGTGTGGAAGTCTTTTCTCAAACGTAATGAATTTCGAATCCTCGTCTGGTATTTCAAATGATTTTTGAACTGTTTTAAAAGAAAGTGAAAATAAATGAAATGAACGAAATTTTAAACGATTAGCATACGATATTTTAATCGAATATTTCTTAATAATCTTTCTTTATAAATCTCGATATGTACTGCACCTAATATCATCATATTCCCAGAAAACCATTTGAAAAAGTCCGGACAAGAGTTGCATAAAAAAATAATGATTGATTATCGAATGAATAATTAACTTAGACTTACCTAAACGCAATTCGCCAAAATTACCACAGCCAATTTTTTTACCGACACGAAAATTTGGTCCGACCATAAGAACACCGGTTGTGGTGCTTACAGATTGGCGGGTGGAATACATGTTATTGCTTGAGCTCTTACCACCGGCTAGGGCTGTGGTGGCATTTGCCACATTACCAGCGGATGGACCGGCAGTTGTCGATTGTGGGCCACCGCCACTGCAAGGAAAGAAAACGGAAATCGATTAGTAACAAGTGATTGCAATAAAATTAAACATTTTACAGGGCTGCAGACTCGAACAGACAGCCACCTGATGTCTGCTTTAAGGCTCCTTAGCAACAAATGCTTAAAGTCGGGCAACTTTTAAGTACTAGTGTGCCCAACTCCAAATGTCACGATACTTAAATACTTAAAAACCAGCAGCAATTAGTTCTTGATTCACTATATTCTCTGGTACAGTAAGGTTAAAATATACTTGGAACTACGGTATTAGTACGTACTCTTCCTCCTTGATATAAGTTTTTTGTATGGATAAATATTTACGCAACATTAAATTTTGAAAGACCAAAAAGCCCCGGGTATACAGGATCTAAACTATTGACATACGGATATCAAAGCAGTAAAGTTCAAAAACATGCTCGACCGAAACAGATATTGTTATTGTTATAGGTGGGCGTTACTATCGACTGATAAATAAGATTTTATTCTTGTCTTAGTAAGAACAGTAAGAAATAACCCAGGACAATGACACAGAAACTTTTTGCATTTTCAAGTGGCCCTGCACAGGCAACAAAAATCGATTCAAATCGAGTTGTGTAGGCCAGGTAAGTTTCTGTTTACCAAAGCTCTTGGAAGAGGGAATAGAGAACTAGCTGGTTATGGCCACATGTCCGGAGAGCTCACTCAGGCTTAACCATTAATGGACAGAGTTAGGGCAGAGAATTCGAATCGACTCCAGTCGAGTCGAGTGGATTGTAGTGGAGTGACTCATGGCCAGACAAGGGAAATATGTTTGATTAAGACAAAAGGTTTTGCTTTGTTGCAGCTCTGGTGGGTGTGGCCCAAGTAAGATTTTACATTTTCCCATTGTTGTAAGATTTAGTTCAATGTCGTCCGGTTAATCCGTACTTCAACTAGGCTGCAGTTGCTTAATTAAGTTAAGGGTAACACGTGGTCTTCTGTAAATGCGAGGCTCGTTTAACAAAGATAATGTAAAACGAGTCACCCGAAAATGGAGCCCAATGTGACAAATAAGACGGACGGGATATATATTACGGGAAAATATTATGTCTACAAAGAATAAAGAAAAACCAGGTGCTATTACACTTCTTAGTAAGAAAATTAGGTATTTTGTTAATGAATCAATGGGTCAGAAGACTTCCCAAATAACTTTAGTTGCTCAATATACGTAATTCTAATCATTTAAAAACACCAATTACCAATCGCAATACTGGATCTTCAAAGTAAATATGAGACTTTTTTAATTTAAAGTTACAACGTCTGCTCAACCGATATTTAAGTTAATAACGCTGATCACATAACTGGTGGATTGGTTACCATCCGCCCAAGACGATTAACAGGAAATAATTAGGTATTCCCACTCGTTCTGCGGTCGCGTTAACCCCCCTTTTCCCCACGCTTTGCCTTAATTTCTACTTTCATCTAATATCAGTCTGCCTGTCGGTCTTCGATTGCTTGCCAGCTGCGAACGGGAGTCGGAAAATGTTATCTACCCACTAGTTTTTTTCGCCAGGGCATAACAACATATACACAACCGATAATTGTACCGTTAGTCGGTGCTGTAAAAAGAAATCACAAAGACTAAAAACTGCCGATAACAATTAAAGATTAAATTGCTGTGGGCAAAAGCAGAGCCGATTGAGCAGGCAACGAAATGAATCAGAAACAAGTTCGAGTTCAACCCCGACTTCAACTTCCTTTTTTATCTCCTGCCATCACCTCATCTCAAAATAGTAGAACTGGACACTTGCCAATGCACGCTACAGAAATCGTCCACCACAAGGTTGCTTATGTTGGTCAAGTTAAAGAAAAGGCTCTTAAATAAATCGATCAGAAGATTATCTAAGCCTCAAAGCTTAAATAATGCTGATCAAGATCTTGTTCAATAGAATCTAATATAGCATTTGAGTATTTAATCGCTGCAATAGTTTTTCATGAATCATTTCACTGTAAAATGAAAACAAAACGTATTTCATCTATCAATAGCTAATTGGTCTGGTATTTCTAGTTGGTTGACTTTCATAGAGTATTTCATTTCCTCGGCAAGTCTCATTTTTCATGCTTTTCTTGTTATTGCTTTGAGTGTATTATGGCTTAATATCCTGGGGGTAAAACTGGTTCATACACACACCAGTATATGTTTCTCTGTGTACATATGGACGGGAATTAACGTATAAATGGCTGAATGTCCACCGATCGATCTCCGTTTGACTCTACTTCTTCGGTGTTTCTGGCTCCCCACATAAAACCATTTGTATTTGCTTGGACTCCGCGTAAAGTTTTTTCTTCTTTTTTTGTATTACTTTTTGGTGTCGGTTTGGTTTCTTGGCTTTCTACGAGTTTTGCTTTTGGCCTGGTATGAAAACGGGTTCGCACTTTGTCGCTCCCGGTTGTTCTTAAAGATAACCTGGTTCTTTTTTTGTTAATCAGAATGTAACAAAGCCTCTTTGGTGGATATTGCACCTGGGTATTTACGAGAGATTTCCGAAAGGCCATGGGTTAATAAGCAAACACGCTCAGTGAGCAACCGATTATTGAATTTATGTATACAAGTTTGAACATTTTTCAAGATTGTTAATGGCAGTTATTCAAATTCGTCAATGTGTCTAATTTTTTAAAGACTCAAAAGGAAATTGTTTTAAACGATTTATTTGATGATGATTTCATTTGATGAAATTTTGTAGGGAAAGTTCGCATTTCTGTGTAATAACACGATGTGACCTAACATTCGCATTAACAAATTAACACTTGTTGCAAAATCAAATAGGTTTCTTCAGTAACGAGAATAAACCCGTAATAATTATCCGTAAGAAAAGTAATTGAGAAAATAAAAACGAACAAACATGTTCATGATATTCCTTGTTTTGTTTTTTGCGTTTGGAGGCAGGGAAAAACAAAATCGATATATAAAAATAAACCGAGCGCTATAAATACAATTATGCACAAGGTGGGTTGCCCAAACTCACTCACCAATACTACCACACAGAAAACCATGTGTGTGTGTGCAAGACGAATTTATCTGTACCTATGTGTGGCTCATAAATAAATCAAGTGTAAATTGAACACCAATCCGAATATAAAAATGAAGGGCAAGGAAAGGAGAAAATTAGACCAGAGGACAGCGAATAGGAAAAACAGAGAACTGGCGATGACGACGGCAATAGTAGAAACCGCAAAAAGCGGAAAATCCCAATTAGAATCCCACAACAATCACTATACACACCAAAAAGACATTTTTTTGTTCTACCAGTTTAAAACACATTTGAATGCGGAATTATTAATATGTATTTAAGCCACTATATTTAACTCTAAAATTTAATTATTAAATATATATTAAACTAATATAAAATATAAAGAATTTAATATAGGTTTGCCTTTGTTACTGTGTATTCCTGCAAGAAGCAGCAAGATGAAACCGCAAAAGAATTCCACCTAATTGGAATATTGATTGGAAAGGTGACACAGTGACTTCTAAACTGTGACTAACTCACATAATTGCAAATTTAATTAAAGCAAAGAAAATCCCACTTTTTCAGGAAGCCCCACAAAACCCATAGGAGTTCACCAAAAAAGAGGGAAATTACATAAGCAATTAAATGGCGCTTAAAAATAAACAAATGATAAGGAAAATCGACAGATAAGTGTGTTTCCTGGAGATTTGTGAGCCGTTTGTATTTCACTCTTTTCCTCTTCAAGTGCATTGCAATATATTTGTTGTTAATTATAATTATAATTATAATTATAATTATAAAAACAAACAATTTCAATTATGCAAATCAATTAAAGGATAACGTGCAAAACATCTGAAACGGGAATGACGTTGGATATTATATTTATATTTAGATAGAAAAAAAGTTTTTCACTCTGATTTATATTTCAGTTTTCAAAGAAGTATTATTACTAATAGTTTAATTTGAAAGCTCGAATCGTTTGCTATTAAAAAAAATAGCTCAATTAGTAATATCTAAAACAATTAGCATCTAATTTTCCAATCACATTCTGTTGCAGCCAATACTAATTTGGCAGTCGAGTCAAGTTTCTCCAATAGCCAATTTTACTGCTTCTATCTGAAACATTTATCAAATAATATTGGAAGTGTACATTAAATGCCGATGTGGATAAGTCAGCTCAATTGACAATATACTACAAAGCGATTCAGCTTGTTGTTATTAATGTGATTTTTGTTGTTGGAAATTAAGTCCTAATTGAATTGCTATAACGCCCAGCATAACGACATAGCGTAACATGTCAATATCTATTTTCATTGGCATTTGACGATTTGAAAGGCAAAGTGGCAAAACAAATACAACTAAAACTAACAATTGCTGCATTCGCATATATTCGCATAGCATAAATGAGCGCACACAGTGGCGCTTTCTTCTTCTAGGTCTCTCCTCTGCCTTTCCCCCCATGCATCACACCAAATGACCTATCACACTGATAAGCGGAGAGCGCGAGAGCCTTGCACATACACACAGAGCCAAACCACTCGAGAGCCTACACACTTACACACACAGTAACGTTTGCTAGATAAGCGCGCCTTGATTAGCAGCGACGTCAGACAATAGCGAGTTGTAATGAACGAGTGACAAGTGTAAAAGGAGAGTGGGAAAAAGGCGCTGCACATCTAGAAATGGGAGGTCAACCCAAAAGAGGAGGCAGTAAAAGCGTGAAAGAGATGAAAGTAGAGGCGGATGAAAAGATATGCAGGCTCCACTGCACCTTGCACAGTGGGCGGCATCACGGAATTAATTAATTCTGTAAGTCAGAGCTCCGCATCTGCGATGGGCATAAACAATTATCTGTCTATGGAAATCGTTATAGTTTCTCAAACTGGAGTCAAGCGAGTGAAATAAAAAAAAAGAAAAAAAATTATGTTCTTGTGTTTGATTAATTGCAGAGAATATTCTAAATTAGTATTAACAGCCGAGTCGATTTAGCCACGTCCGTTTGTCGGTCCGCCTCTTTTTACGCTAGTCTATTAGTTTTAAAGCGATATTCATCACACTTGTTCAAAAGACTTCATTTTGTTACAGATGATTTATAAGTCTATTTGAAGGTATTTCTAGTGTATTTGATCTTATTCGGTATGAAACGATTTTTTAAAAAAATTTAATTACACTAAGGGTATACAAGCTTCGGCTTGCCGAAGTAGGCATTCTTGTTTAATTTTTTATTTGCCAATGTACCCCCCTACGACGTCCACTTTATGGCTGGGCTAGCACGTCACCCATCCCACTTCCACTTCCAAAGCACAGACAACAATTCCATTGACGACGTAGTCTATCAGCGCCACAGCCTCTAACAGAAATTGCACAATGATGCCCGTTACGTTTGAGTGTGTGTGAGTGGATATGTGAATGTATGTATGGGGGCGCCTCAATGGCCGATTGACCTTTGCATGTTAGATTAACATTGAATATGAAATCGAATACACCCCACCACATCCCACCTACTAAACACAGATCCTGTTTGTGGGTCATCTGCCCGGTGTATAGATGTTTGAGCTTCTGTGGCAAATGCTTTAATTAGTTTAGCCTTAGCTAGAACACGTACAAAAGCCAAAAGCTATTCAAATGCGTTCTACAGAGGTCAAATGCTATCCACTTTCTCTGGTCACCATAGAAGCTACCACCACACCAAGTGTTTCAATTATAGATTCGGGTTAAATTATAGCACCAAATATATGTCATATTTAAAATGTGTCATATTAAAATACTTGAGCCTCTCTTAATGTTATTTAAACTAGTGCAAGTGATTTTTCTGTCACTTTTCGATGCGGAAATGTGAAACATTTTGGTTCAAGGCAAATTATTGAATATATTTCTTAAAGTATTCTTAAATAAAAACCCCAAGCTATTTTATTCATAGAGTCCACGACAAGAATTAAGACTTAATGAACTGACTGATTTTTTTCAGCATTTTATTTATAATTTGTACATTACAGCCAATACAAAAACCAACCTGATCTAATGGCTATTATCTTCACCGCAACCATATGGAAATTGTCGGTAATTTGCTTTCTAGTATTTTCTTCCGGCATGGCTCAACCTTTCGGATCGTTTAGAAGGGGTGAGAGTGACCCCGAGATGACCCCAATCCCAGCTTGTCTCCTTCACCCGGGCAGCCCCTACGTAATTTACACTTGATTCCTTCCTTTCGCCTTTGGTGGTCGTTTGTGAATTGATGGGGGCGTGGCTATCCGACATTGAAAAACCTCACGTGCGTTTGCGTTGCCAACAGAAGTTTTGTTTCCTTCGGCTTTTTTTATGTTCTTTGTTTTTTGCTGCAATGCTTGCAGCTTCTGGGCGAGTTCAATGTCGTGGCCAATGCAATTTGAGCAATGCCATTTTCACGTTTTTTCTTATTTATCTTTAATCGGCAGGTCTGTCAGTCGATTGCCGAACTGAAGGCCGTGAAAAGTCAATACAGTGCGGCCCTGTATCAGTTACTATCAGTTATTTTTGGCACTAAACGCATTCGCACTTTCTCATAGACTTTGTATTATCAAAAAATTAACTAGACTTTACCTTAACTTTAACTTTTACTTTAATTTTAACTAGACTTAATTAAGTAAAGGAAATTCAAACTTATAACAGAGTGGAAAATATTCATCCAAGTTTGCAAATAATTACCTTACAAATGTCTGTTTATTTTATTTATTTACAGACTTTGTTTGCTAATACGGATGGCGAATAAACAAATACAGATTTGCTAGCCAAAGCGTTGAAGTTGATTATTAAGTAACACAGCTGACAGATTGAAACTAGTTGCTAGGCATTTGATAATCCCTTTTCTTATCACTTTCCAGTTCAGTGACGTTTTCTGAAATCAATTTCTGAATTATATTGTCCTGGTGCACACGTAACTAATAATAGGCCATACTACATTTAAAATACTCCGGATACTTCCGGCGATAAACAAGATTATGGTCACACTGCCGCAGTGTATCTTAAAAAGTTTCCCACAACCCTTCTGTTACATGCCGTTCGAAACTGAGCCCTAAACATGTGTTTAACATAAGTGGACAATGTTTGGCATACTCAGCAAGGAAAAAACGATTAAACGAAAAAGAAATAAAAAATAAAATATATGAAAACTAACCCGATGGACTCCGTAGAACGGTACTTTCAGTGGGAACGAGATGGCGAGAAGGGCCTCATGCATGGAATCCCGTCAAAGAGGAAGAAGCAGAGCGTCGCGGGGGATCGCTGACGCTCAGTGGCTGTCAAACTGTAAGCAGCTGTTGTTGACTTTCAGGCCGTTCACTCTTCGTTGTTGTGTTTGTTGTTGTTGCTGCTGATTTAATGCTGTTGTGTTTGAGAATGTGTTTTTATTTTTACTGCCTTTGTTATAATTGTTTAGTTGACGGCATAACTTGGATTTTACACAATTTAAGCACTTTTATTGCACATCTGGTTGGCTTGAAAATTAACAAATAAACATTAATTTTATTTTGGCTCTGCAACTATTATTTTTCTAATATTTCTGAGCTCTTTTTCTTTTTGCACTCTACACATTTCAGTATCTTCATTTTTTACAAGTATTTTTGTGTTTGCTCTTTTTGTACTATGATTAAATTCCAACTGGAAAATGTTTTTAATTTGCCATATCCGCTGCGCTTTGTCTTTCTATGTGTATGTATGTGTGTGCGATCGAGCAATGGAGAGGAGTATGAAATGAAAGGAACGATCAGAAAATATGCAGCAATATGTGAGAAATCCGCTCAACTTTCGCCACATTACGAAATTAATTCCAAAGCCGGAGACCAAAGCGCCCCCAACAAACTGATATTAAACACTTTTTTGTTTAGTTACTTTTCTTTTGCAGGTCAAAAGTCTGAAAAACAAATGAGTGCGAGAGGGAGAGAGAATGAGGGAGAGAAGGCCGCAGCAGATACAGATACCAAAAAGGCAGGCAAAATAAATTGTGGAAAAAGTCATAAATAACTCGAAAAACCAGTTTATGTTGCCGGTGTACAAACAGGCAGCTCCAAAGCAACAAAAGAAACAGCAACAGTAAACAAAGTGTGCAGCAAAACGAAGAAAAGTGCGAGCGAGCTAAGAATAGTACTTAACGAAAAAAAAACATTAACAGGAAGGGGGAAAACAAAACTCGTTAAAGCTGTGCAAGAGATGGAAAAGTAAAGCACAGACAGCTGACTCAAAGAACTAGAAGATACACAAACGCACACTTACACAACTGAGCGAGAAGAGAGGAAAGATAATTTTCCAGTTGTGGGCAGACTGTCAAGTCAAAGGAGATTGAGATAAGGTGTTTAGCAACAGTTTGACAGTCACAACTCTTTTCTGTTATGTTTCAGGCCATTATTTATTTTGTTTTCCAACTTTTGACACCCACACACACTCAGCGAAGCGCAACAAGAGCAAATAAAAAGCGTGGCTGCACTGCATTGAAAATCATTTCAATAGGAAACTGGAGCAAACACAATTTATTCAACGTCACACCGATAAAGCGATTAACGCGTACAACACACACCACAAGTTCTCACAAGTATCTGTACTGCACACCCGCAGCGCACCGCCAGATTTGCGAGAGAGCTGCGATTGCGAAAACACTGGTACGGCGGAGGAGGAGACGGAATGACAACTGCCGCGCCAAGCGATCGAAAATCAAATGAGCTCCGACACAAAGAACACACGATACCGAAGCCAGCGGAAGAGAAGGAGAGAGCGCGAAAGTACACCCATACGGAGAGAAATTATGGTAGATAATGAGGATCAATTGAGGGATAATATAATATATGATTAAAAAGAAAACAAATTAAATGATTCCCTTTTTTTATGAAATGATAATAAGGCTTTTTAGCTCAAATAAATTTTTAAGCCTAAATACTAATTAGTACCTTGACTACGTAATTTGGATTAGAATTTTTCTCTGTGTAGGGCAAAGAGAGATACAGAGCTCGAGAGATTGAGAGAGCGGACACTTGTGAGCGTGTGAAAATGCGGCAATTGAGAAGTTTGTATTTGTATGTAATTATTGTTCATGTCGCTGCTGGTTGATGTTGTTGTTCCTGTTCTTGTCACTGTACAGGGAGAAAAGCAACAACAGCGAACTGAGCGAGCGAGCGACAAACTGATAATGAAGTGCGACAGAGACAGATAGCGTTCATGCGTCAGAGGCCGAGAAACTATAGAGAGCAAACTCGTTACACAAACAAAACGCACCTGTCAAACACACACAGAGACCAAAAAATGAGGTGGAGAATGGAGCACTGAGAACGAAAAGTGGAATAAGTGAACCAAGCCGGTAAGAGAGGCTATGGTCTCCGTCTTTGGCTCAATGGAGATTTCTTTGAAGCGCAGTCGCAACTGTGAAACTTCTACCAACGTGAGCGAGCGAGAGAAGAGAGGAGTGAGTAGGGAGTGACTCATACAGCAGTGCCATGCCTGAACCGCGATAAGCGAGATAGCTGTATGCCTGCTGCCGTAAAAGAGTCTGGTAACAGAAGTCTTCTTGAATAAGCACAGTGGACTTGATAAGGTTGACCACATTTATCCATGTCATGTCATTATCGATCGATCTTATTAACGAATTAGTTATTTTTTAATAAATATCATCATACAACTTTACCGTTCTCAAATTAAAAAATGTTGTAAAAGCTTATTATGCTCTGTGGTGCAGATCAAGTGAACACCATTTTATTTTTCTTCATGCGTACAAATCTGGACAAATCAATTATAGATTTATTTTTGAAGCGTACACGAGTAAACGTACACACTATCTTGCTACACTAAATAGATTTCGCCGCCGGTCATAATTAAATGATTAAATATTTAGTTAGGGCTCTCAAGTTATTTAACCTTCAATCAAATAAGTTTGTTTAAACTGCATATCGATATACCCAGCTGGTGGTGTAATTATCAAAACGAAGAAACGGCAAACTCGATCAACATCGACTTTGGGTTAATTAAGCTCCTTCTCTCCGATTTTTTGTCTCGCTCAGAGGTTGCTGCAGTTTTTACACGACTACGCATTTGACCCCAATTGCAGAGGCACGACAGAGGCGGCGATATCTGGGGGTAGATGTCTGTAGAATTTACAGTGCGTTCATATGTGTTTTACTGTTGCTTTTGCATTTCTTTTGGTGACCGGGCAATTAATTAATTAAAATGTAATTTATGTTTGCTGTTCCAACGACATTTATTTGTTTTCAAAAATTAAAAACAATTATGACTAAAAACGCAAGAGGCGAATACAAGAACAAAATCAATGGCACAAGGAAAAACCAGTTGCTGCTTAATTATCAGTAGACATGAGTGTAAAGTAGAAGTAATACATAAATGACTGACAATCTCGTGGCGAAGGAAAGGACAAAGAGATAGGGGGAAAGAGTTCAAAGCCGCCTCTTTGAGTTCACTAAAAATTTCTGAAATCTTTCTTTGACACACATTTTACTGTAGTAAATACCTACAGCACAAAAAATTACTTGTAATTGATTTTGACTGCAGAACATAATTTTCATATTACACATGGGTTGCTTTTAATCCGATATAAGTCCTGCTACACGTATTCAAAGTTACTTGATTAAATACTATTTTCGGGAACCAGTCCGTTTTGTACAACCTCCTTAATTCGGAATACTTGTATATACAAAAATATACCATTTTATATTACAAGGATTACAAATAAGTGTCCGTTCCTTAAATCCTCAGACACTTGACAAATACCAGCAAGTATTACAGCAAAGAACGCAATGAGAGGTAGAAACAAAAGGAACTCAAACAAAAACCAGACTTGACCTGAGCAACTTGCTAGGCTGCTCTCCAAAGCCACGTCTAATCTGTTTGTCCGCTTTTCCTTCCACTCTAGGAATTCCACGACTTCAGAGCCCGCGATACAGACAGGGATGAAAAATTATCGCAAATAAAAAGGTAAGGTGGTGGAGACTTAAGTGGTGGCATGGTAGGAGATAAAAGCGACCTTAAGCACGCCGAGTTAGTTGAACAGCACTTGTCCCTTTTCATTTTCTTCATGGCTCTGCTCTTGAAATTTCCAGAGCTGAAGTGAGAAATTTGACAAGAATTGTAAAATACTTTTTAGGCTGCAATCGGTGATAAAATTTTTTTTTTTAAATAACTTGGTTTTATTACGAATTTTTAAAGAATTACTCTTATATGCATTTCCCTTGTCCTTATTTGACAAAATCCCAGTAATCAACCATCTGACAATTATAAAATGAATCATCACCAAAGGCTTAAAACGATCCAACTGCAAAAGTCTGTGAAAAATAAAAAGGGTAAAAGAGGCCCCGTCAAAGCTTTGTGTTAGCTGTTTGTATGTGAAACCGCATCGATTTGTTTGACAGGCTTTTACTTTCGCCCACGCACACTCCTGTCCCTACATTTCCCAATTTTCCCTTACGGGAATCGAGCATCTAATTTAATTAGAAGAAATTTTTGCAGTATTGGTTTTTCTGTTTTCCTGTTTTTTGCTTACGTTGCTTTTCATGCAATTCATTGGTAGTTTTTTTTTTTGCACTTATCTGAGACACAGTTAAACGGCCAAGTGAAAGAAAAGCATTGCCTTGAGCACAATTTTTGTATAATTCTTTTTACAGAGCTGACGATTGAGAAGTGAAATCAGGATCAATAATTTTAATGTTTATAAAATAAGAGTGCTTGCATTAATTTAATAAATTCTTATTAACCTATTAACTATATATTTTTCTTTTATACATATGTATCGGGTTAAAGAAATTCATTTGTAAAGACTCTTTAATTTTATACCATCCGTTTTTCCTTTATAATTAGCAATATGTGCGGGCTTTTCTATAGCTCACAGAGAGAGAGAGAGAAACACCCCCACGCAGTCTCAACCACTCACCCACTTGTGGAGAAAAAAAAAGTTTAAAAAACCAGCGATTGACAGTCGACAACAGCCTAATGACGTCACCGGTAAATAGTGCGTGATGTGTGTGTGCATATGTTTGATGGGTCACTTGTGCTTGCTTTTTTATTTTGGCGTGTCCGCTTTTACATTCACATTATTTTTGCTAAATCCGCAATTTGTCCTTGCTTTTATGGGGCACCACAGCTGCTGCTCACTGGTCACCCAGTCCATCGCCCGCCATTATCCTTTTGCTTTCGTTCACTTTTCATGTGTTTTTCTTGTATTGCAATGGAGCTACTTTTCGCTGCACGCAACTCGGCTTTCTTTTTGCTTTTTTTTTTCCTCATTCGATACAGTAAAGCTACCCTGGATTAAACTCTTACAAAAATTGTCAAATTATTACTACAGAGTTTTTTAATCTCGTAATTTTGCCTATAAGGCAAAACATATTTTACCTATTTTGGAATAACTATGAACATGTCCTTAACCTATCCTTAACCTAACTTAAAATCATGTTCCAAAAAATGTTGATACTAAACTAACTAAACAACGACAGTTCGTGCTGTACGAATGGCTGGTGGCAAGACTGGCTGGTCTACGTTATGTTGGTTGCTGTTCTCGTTTTTAGCTGAGAATTTAGGTTATCCCCGTTGCCCCAGCACCATTCACTTGTCATAACAGCTCGGCTATTAAATAATAAAAAGTAATATAAAAAGTTTGTTTTTTGTTACATTCGCTGTCTCCAACTAAAATGTGTGGAAATATGAATATATGTATAGATGGGTGTGAGTAAGTTTGTTTTGTTGGCTAGCAACAAAATTACGTTAGTTTAGCTGGGTTAGTTGCTTTCCGTTTTCTTGTATTATATACGGCCGGTGGAATGGAAAATAAATGTTGTAACATGATTTTTGTTTTGCATTTTCTTACAATTTGTTGAGTAAAGAGAAGAGTGGAAGAGAAAAGGCAATATCACCACCAGTTATTACTTAACGTAAATCTATTAAAGCATCTCCGCAAACTTTTTAATTTCCCAGATGGCTCTTTCTGCGGACAACTAAATTCGTGTTTCGTAGGTTTTCGTACGTCTTCTGGATTTCCAGTTCATCATTTTTATATATATATGTACCTAACTCCCAGAGGTCAACTAGTAAATACACCGATAAAGTGCACCCTGAAGTCCCTGTTTCGCAGCCATCATGATGAGCGAAAAACAAACAAGTGCTTTGTGTGAGTAAATATAGCTGGAAGACCCGAAAATGCAGACAGCAAACATTGAGAAGACCCAATGGTAATCGTATGCGAGAAGGTATGTATGTATAAAGAACTATGAAACAGAAAAACACAGATACACAGACACAGGAAGACTTGGGTATGACAAGAACCTAGAAATGTCAATAACGGGGTAAAATCATCAGCAACGAAAGCTTTGAACCCACACACATTCAAGGCTAAAAAGGCGATTTTTCCGGCGGCCTGACACAAGGAGGCCGATCAACTAAAATGGCTATAAAATATTTATAATGTGCGTGAGTTGTGTGCACTTCGTTTCCTACAAAAAGACCGGTGGTATCTATCACGCACCCACATATGTGGCTATTATGTATTGCATTGGAAACCCATTTCATTCTCCCCCTTGCCATGGCTCTTCTTCTTAGTTTGGCTGGCGTGCCAGAGGCGAGAAAAAGCAGACGCCATAAGCCAAAAGCAGCAAAAACACTTGCGAAAATAAAATAAAATCAAACACACAGGTTTAAATAGAAACATCTCTTTGCTAAAAATAAAATCTGTTGCTTGAACTTTTGACAATGTGCAGTA